TAATTTCCTGCCAGTGCTGCTCATCACGGTGATGAATGATCTTAAAACAAGCCCAGCGTAATGCAGACCAGGTGAGGCGTCTGCAGCGGGAGGGGGGATTGTCTGGCTGCGTTTGGTTTCATCAGTCACCTGACAGGGAGAGCTGGCCTGGGCTGTGGGAACAGGAAATGTGACATCACCAGGCTGACATTCAGGAATGTGGGAATGTCAGGCCGCCTGTTAACAAAGCTCCCAACAAGATGCAGAGGGAGGGAGACTGACGGACAGCGGCTAACTGAACCCGGCTGAGTTATTTCAAACCTGAAGAGGTGGGAAGCATTTAGACCAACTTTGATCTGCCAGGAAGAAAGAAAACATCGTTCCTCCTCTTAGTTGAAATGAGACGGTTTGGTTCATTTATCATCCGCTAAGGTTGAAAACTGCATGACATCACAGACACAAACACAGATCCTGTCATCTCAGAGCACTTTAAGAAACAAACAGCTCGTAAACATGAATATCAGAGGTGTGCTGATCGATCGGCCACTGATCATAATCGGCCGATTTCTGGGAAAAAGCGTATTGTTGCTGATCACCAAAACCGATCACCTGTATCTCATTCGCAGCCTGCGTGTGCAGCTGGTCTCCTCTTTCCTTCACACTGCAAACGCGCAGCAACAAATCCTGTCATGAGGAACTTTAACGCTCTGAGAGAACGGGGAAGTTTGCGTGTTGTGGCGGAAATTTACCTCGGAGGTGAAGCACGTCAAAACGCATCAACACAACGAATCTAATGTGATATTTAAAAAAACAAGCACCTGATGGAGTTCGGCTACATCGAATGCAGGAAAATGGACACCCGGAGCGGCTGGTAAAGCAGCTCTGACCCGGATTAGCATCACGGTCAGAAAGCTAAACAAATAACCTGAAAAATTATTCAAGTCTTCGAGCTGCGATGTATGGTTCTATAGTAACTAAAAAAGATATTAGATATGTACTAAAATATGTCTATTATGTCTAAATTAGGTGAATTTATTGCCAGATTATTTTTCCATTTTGCGATAGAATCATTTATACCTAAAGCGAAAAATTACCAGCCATTCCAGTTGATTGGCAGTGATCGGTGATCAGCCTCATGGGTGATCGGTACTGGAATCAGCAGCAAAACAAATCTGATCGGAACAGCCCTAATAAATAAACAATGAGATCAAATCAATCAGACACATGCAGTCTGTTTCCATCCAATCAAATTCACCTTATAATGCTTTAAACACAAAACTCTGCCATGTAACTTTTGCCTATTGTCTTATATAGTAATACACCTGAAAAAAGACTCAGCTAACTTTTCAACAAGATATAGGAGCATGTTTTAAGTTAATAATTGTTTAATATTGATTTTAAAAAGTATTACATCCACTGGAAGATTTATTTAACTTGCATGGAAAAAATGTTTTAAGTGTAAAAAATCTCTGAGTGGAACTAGAACTTTTTAAAATCAATATTAAAGAATTAATGACTTAAAACAAGCTCCTATATCTTGCTAAAACGTTACTTGTAAGTCAGTTGTATCTTATTTAAAGTGTACTAAGTTATGAGCACTACAAGCTTGACTTGGTAAAAGTTTGTGTTTTTACAGTTATATATCTGGAGAACCTCCCAAAGTATTTTATCTAGTTTTTAGTGCCAATATCTTAGTTCACTTGAAATAAGATACAACTAACTTACTTTTCATCAAGACACAGCAGCTTGTTTCAAGCTTAATATTGATTTTAAAAAGTACTAGTAACAAGAATGCTCCTATACGTGGAAAAAATCTGCAAGTAGAACTAGAACTTTTTAAAAATAAATATTTAATGACTTAAAACCAGCTCCTATATCAAGCTAAAATGTCTCTTGTAAGTTAGTTTGGTCTTATTTAAAGTGTATTAAGATATTTGCACTAAAATCTAGATAAAAATACTTGGCAGGGTTTTGCGTTATCTTCCTGCTGATTGCAGCAGTGAATTATTATTTTTGCCATGATACTTCGTGTGAACTGCATCCTCAACATTTCTAAATGCCGGGCCAATCTCAGTAAATTGGAAAACACTTTCTGATGAAGCTCACTTCTCAGAGTAACATTACCTTTTGAAAACGACTTTTTAAACAGACCGTGCTGTAATTTGATTGGTTTGATGTAATGCTTTATCATGAACGTCTTGTTTCCATTAGCTGTAAGTGGAAACATAATCATATTAACCAAAATAAATGCTTGAGTAAATAATACGATGTGACTAAGTTTGTGAATTAAGTGATTGTAATGAAGTCACTATTCACATTTGTTGAAAATTTGAGTTGCTGATGTGAATCTCCACCTGCTGGCTTGTGTCCAGAGCGTCATTCTGCTATAGGTGCCACATTCTGACGCCTTCATTTCAAAACCAGCAGGAAGTTTTTTTGGCAACTGGATCCTCGTCCCAAGAATTGAACTTACAATTTCTCCCTCCCTGCCTCAGTCGTACGTCATGGAGGCTTGGCCAGCAGTGGAAACGTGGGTGGCACATTAGGCTTTAATTTCTTGGACGACGCGGGGAATGTCTCGACCACTGGAGACCAGGAGCGTCAACGGGGAAGTGAAGCCGAGTGGGTGGACAAGTACCATCCACCCACTCGGCTCTTTTATTTAGTCCTGGATGAAACTTGCTAACTTTACTTTAACTTCATACACTGTAAAACATTTGAGCTGCATTTAGTTGGGTCTACTATCTTCTACTATTTAAGTCAAATAAATTTATTGAGTTTTAGTTTTTGAACCTGAATGTGAGTTTGTGAAAGATAAACTTACAGCAGTAAGTCGTGTTAACTTTTTATTAATTTTGTCAAACCTCCAACAGTTGAATAAACTCGAGTTTTTATGTTAGCACTTAAAAAACTGAAGAAAAGACAGGAGTGGGAACTATTTCCCAGAATGCTCAGCGGCTTGTTTTTGCCTCTTGAGATGGAAGTGCATTACATTGATCTGACTCTGTTATTATTAAGGCAAATGTTTATTTTAAAGCTGGAGGATATTGTTCTGTTCACACTAAATGTTTTTAGCAGAATTAATTGTGATGTTTAATGAAATTCATAATCAGATCAGAAATTTTGTTTAAGCAACTTGAACCAAGAATTTAAATTATTCTAAAGTAAAATAAGTATTTATTTTAACTTGATATTGTGAGTAAAATAATAGAGAAATGTGTCTCTTTAACTAGGTGAGGACAGTTATTTTTGTTGCACATTGTGAAATAATTATTTGGTTTAAATTGCAGCATTAAGTTAAAACTCACAATTCAAGATTAATGAACTTAAACAATGTTTAGAAAACTTGTCTCTTGTTAAATCGACTTCATGAACTTTAATTTCTGAGATTAAACCATTAACTCTTGTTGAGTTAAATTACATTTTCCAGGCAGCAGGTGGACTTTCATTTTCAAGTTAAACCACCTTCAAAAGTTTTACAGTGTAGCATCAACATAAAATAACGTGACTCTTAGTGCATCTGAATCTGATCAGTCTTTCACTTCAACATCAATATTATTAAAAAATATGATCTGAAAATCTCCTGAGAGTAAATAATTCAATGCTTGAGTAAAAAGTCAGGAAAAGTGATTAAAACATTAAATTATCAGAATACCTGTTAGCGACAATGACTGCTTGCGTTCTCGCACTCAATCCTTCTCTAAATGATACAGAGTCAAATTATTACTTTATAAATGGAAATTTCTAACTTGTATGAATGTGAGAAAAACTTAGAGAAGTTTATTAAAGTTAAGGAAACGTTGAAGAGAAGGTAACTGAAGTAATTCTGCGATCTTTCAGTAATCTGGTCACTGCTTAGTGCTTGGAGAAAAACTGATTACTTCACTGTTTCTGATGTCACTTTACTGAGGAATGACATTACCACTGATAGGAAAAGATGGAAAAACAACAATTATCTTTCATTAATGAATCTGTTAGTGGATGAGAATCCATGTAGGCCACCAAGTTGATATTATTTCCTATAAATAATGTGTTAAATGCAGACATTTTTGGCTGAGTACTGCAGCTCTAGTGGGCTGTTCCTCGTCTCCTGTGGCCTGTATCTCTTAAAAAGTGGTGCAGGGAAGGAAGAGAGGAGAACTGGTGACCAGATAATTAATGACCATTGAGAGAAAACAACAGATGGCTGCTAAGGCTCAAAATGCTAAAGAAGAAAATGCTGTTTCTGATAATAAAGGTGTTAGAAAGTCCAGAGCACTGGTGGAGGATGAGTCATAAAGCCTGGTCATAATGTTATGCCCGATGTATAAAGCTACCTTAATACAGAAATTAGAAATGACAGCGAGTTTCTGAAAGTTAGCATCAATATCTCAAAGCACTCTGAACAATATTAAAGTTAATAAAACTTCCCAGATGTGAACAAAATAATCATTTTAATCTTATTATATTTTGTTCTGAAAAGATAATATCTATTAAAACTAATAGGAAGCTTTACTCAAAGCAAGAAATCAGACACAGAAAAGAAACTAGAAAAAAAAACTTTCTAAACGCTAAATTTAAAACAACAAATATTCATGGATGAAAAAGTTTTAAGCATGGATGAAACCAAAAGTTTCACATTTTCCTCTAAAACTCGCTGACATCATCTGGCTGTTCCCGACTCAACGACATCGCCATGGAGCTGCCAGCCTCCTCAACAGACACAAACATCCACTCTCTGAGTTTCTCTGCACGGAGCAGCTGCCAAAACTTGAGCAAAGAGTCGGACACGGAGCCCCAGCGGAGCCCAGCTGCTGCCTGGGAAACCAAACGGAGCGACTCCGGCCCCCGCTCCGGCTCTCACCCCTCCTGTCTAACAACAACAGACCGCCCGCCTCTCCGCTCCCTCCGTCGCTCCCAAAGCCGAGTTTAAGGGGAAAAACCGAGGGAAAAGTGGGGGGACACATTTCCCCACCTTCGCTCATGCTCTCACTCACACAGAGCTGGTTTGCGAGCTGCCGGCGCTGTGAAGTGACACTCACCCCTGTAGCGGAGGCTGTCGTGGTGGTTGTGCTGGAGGTGGTTCTCCAGCGCCGGGGGGCTGCTGGCGCCCAGCTCTGCCAGTTTGCGGCTGGTCGCAGAGAGCTCGGATCGGAGGTTGGTCACTTCCTGACTCGCTGACTGGATGGCCCCATCGATCCTCTGTGCCAGCTGCTTGTTGTCGTCCATCATTTTAAGGATTTTCCCCTGAGGAGCAAATCCACACAGAGCAGCATGGTGTCAGCAGGAGCATTACTCTGGGCGAAGCTGACACCCTCTCCTCTCCCTCCTCCACCTGCACTTCTTCTGTCTTAGTGTTTAGTTTGCACATAAAAAGCAGAGCAAGCTCCTTCCTGTCCACCGGCCTGACCTGTTACTGCGTAAAAGACCTGGAGAGCATGTGTGTGAGGAGGAGGAGAAGAGCTGCAGCGCGGCAGGCGGAGGGAAAGCGAACGCTCCCGCCGTGCAGAATGTGCTGCGAGCAGCTGCTCTCTGAGAGGACCCCGCACACCCAGATGACATGCAGCCTTTTAAATGGACTGTACCATGTGCCGGAGGAGCGGGGGACTCAGACGGGGGACTGATGTGCTATCCGGCAGCAACTCTCCAACTGCACCGTGTGCTGCAAACCCCACGCCCTGCAGAGCCTGTAATGAGTGAGCAGCGGCGTCTGGAGTGGAGGAAAAAGTCCTGATTGTTTCTCTGTACTTTCTCTCTTTCTACGTTTGTATCTTTCTCACATGTGCTCCCACTTTTCCCCCACTTCCTCCCCGCTCACTCGCACGCCCGCTCGTCTTTTTGTCTCTCCCACCCCTCCTTTTTCTTTCTATTATACATCCATCTCTTTGTCCTGGGAAAGCTCACCCCCACGTCGGTGGGAGGGGAAGGGGGCTGGCACAAGGCGCCCAGGGGAATGCATTTCCACACACAGCAAACTTCGGGAAAGGACAGAGACGCAGCTCCATAAAGGGGGACACACAAAGAGAAGAGGCCTGGAGCCTTTCAATCGAGTTGTGAACATGGAGGAGCTTTCCTGCTTTGATCAAAAACAGTTGAAAGGATTATTTTCCAGCTTATCTGTGGGCTGAGTAAACAAACCGCACCGCCTTCCTTATCTCCACTGTTATATAGAAAAATAAATTCCATCACACAGACAAAAGGTTACACTGGCGGCGTACACTGCTCGTCTTATCTCAGAATATCCCTAAATACTGCTGAGCCATCGCAATTTCAAATCTACATTTGACATTTTCATTTCCTCGTGAGAACAAAAATGGATTCTGGCTGCGGTGAGAAGCTGAAGCCATCAGTCGGGTCCCGTCGTCCTCCACTCAGATGATAACAGCACGGGGTTAATATTCACACATTAAAGGTGACATAATACGCTTCCCTGAACAGGAAGGAAACATGTTCACTACATATTTTGCACAAAATCATTCTTAGATAATGAGAGTTTAGTCTATTTTAAGCTCCCTGGGCTGTTTTAGGGTGACTTTTCACTTTAAATCCAAATACGCTGCTGCTGGCCGCGCCCCCAACTCAACGTTTAGACTTGGCTGTGAAAATGGCTGCAAACAGGTGTGCTATTATACGCCCGTACATCTTTGAAAAGCAGAAGTGGAGTCTCCTGCACAAACAAACAGAATACTCTGGGGGTCGCAAAACTTCATAATGTTTGAAGTCGACTACAACGCGATAAAAGTCGAGTCGACATCGACTAGCCGCAGTCGTAGCAGCCTAAGTGAAAATACGTCACAGTAACTTGTCAGCTTTATTAGCTATATTCATGGCAAATATTGACAAAAACTCACTTTACATTGTCTATTATGCAGAATTAAAAGAACAAGAAGCAGAACTTTACCCGCACTTATTCATCAGAAGCGGAGCAGAGGTTGTCCAAAAAGTTGCACAAAGTCGGGTCTGACTTTTTTCTGGATTTTTTGAAAACATTTTTTGTCACTAGTTGCTTTTATTTGACAGTAATCAGATAAGAGGGGGACGGAGCAGGGGAGAGAGGCACCTCCTCCATGAGCTACTACTGCCGTATGAAGACGGGCTTCGCTCTCAACCAAAACAACCAATCAGAGACAGGAGGAGGGTCTTAACACCGTCAATCAACTCATGAATGCGCTGCTAAATGTGCTGATGGCAGAGAAACAACTTATCGTTACAGGAAAACCGTTTATCCGCCAGCAGAGTAATGCTAACTAGCCTTAGCGTTACTCTTCTGGCTGCAGTGTAGCAGAGAACAAGACGAGAACTCAAGAGTGATTGACAGCGCTAAGACCCGCCTCCTGGTTCTGATTGGTTGTTTCTAGTTAAGGCAGATTGTTTTTCACATGGTGAGAGTTTCTACAAATATGTAAAAATATGTTTTACAAAATTTAGATACTGCAGCTTTAAGTTGTTTGAAGGTAAGAAAATATCTTCCCTGCTTCCTGGGTCAGCACTGGGCTTTCTTACCAGACCTGCCCAAAATACCTCCCACAGAGGGCATCCTGACGGCCTCCTGCGCACAGAACCGGTGTCAAATGATCCCTATCCGCCTGTCTCATCCGTTCAGCGGAAGCTAATTTCTGCTGCATGTATCTACAGGATTATCTTGTTCTTTCAGTCTTCAATGAGCTGCTTTATATTTCAGGGGCTTTGTCCGCCAGCAGCAATATTGTCTGGGGAACAGTCTGGTGCAGGTAGGCGCTTTATCAGCAAATCTGTCCGGAGTGAAGGACCAAGTGTATTCAGGACAACATAAAGGATCAAAGAAGTTTCAGTATAAAAGACACAGCTAGTCCTTTCAACAATTCAGGTCCAGAGTTAAAGCTAGTTTCTAACTGAGCTGTACAAAAAAACAGCTGAGAATTAGTTGTTTTTCTACACAGCAAGACAAAGACATGTAAATAAATGACTAAAATCTGTTTTATCTCAGTAGCATATATTTGGAGTTTCTATTTCAACACTTACTTGCTGAAACCTCTGGTTGGTGTTCATAAACATAAAAAATTAACTAATAGTCGAGCAGTGATTATAGATTCATTTGAAAACATTGATTACATACATAGATTTATGCAGCCCACATGTGAGCTGTTCTATCCAAATAAAAAGGGACAGGCGCTGAATGTAGAATGCATTTTCCATCCCTTCATTCATCTTAAAACTTAGTATTTCAGTCTTAATATTAGCAGTCTAAGTAGTAAAATCTGTTCTAAAGGACATGTGGTGTTTTGAATGATTTTAATAATGGCAGCGGAAATATCAAGGGCGGTGCGTTTCACGCGTCCGGAGTGGCGAGATTGAAGCGTTTTGATCGTTTGACGCGCGTCCAACGCTCCAACCAATCAGAGACTCTGCTATGTGACGAAGTGGCCTGTAGTTGGTGTCCTGCCAGGAGTTGGAGGCACCAATAAAGGTTAGCAGGTCATCCAACTGGGCTCAGGTGAGACGAAAACACCAACCTCGTCAGCGCCCAGCCAGCCTGTGAAACTCACCAAACTCACAACTCCTCTGAATTATCTGGTGAATTCAAAACACGCGCACAATGGCCATATTTTTTTCATTTCAGTAAATCAAACATAGACACTCTCAATATTTCATCTGCATTCTTCAAAGTAACCGAGAGGGAAAAAAAAGGCAAGAGGCTCCAGCCGTTATCAGCTGTCGCCGCTGTTTGTTCAATAAAAACCAAACCAAAAATGTTCAGCAAAGACATCTGAGCCTTTGTTATGACTGCAGAAAGAAGCTTTCACGTTTCGGTGCAACTTTCTCAATATCATCCGCCGTTGTAGAAAGAGACCTGCAACGGAAAACAACGACTCATCGACGTTTGACGCGCGCCGAGAGCAATATGTCAGCCGTTTGACTTCAAAGTGCATCTGACTTCAAGCATCGGACGCATTTTTGACGCGCAAAACGCGTTCAGCCTGAACGTAAAACATTAAAACGTTTCTATTTAAACACAGACACTGAATTACATGTTTATGTGATAACTCTGCACCTGTACATCACACTTAAATACAATAATAGCACAAGCTTGGTCGAACATGTAGAAACAACACAACTTCAATTTGTTCAGACAGTGCAGTGAGGAACAATGGCATGAAATGTACCAGGTTATTTTGACGCATTATTTCTCAAGCAAAAACAAAAAGAGCGGTCCTAAACTAAACAAACACGATTTAGGCCTGATGGCACCTTTCTGCTGCCAAGCCCGGCATCAGTAAGCACCCGGTGGTCCGATCTCTGCTCGCAGGAGGCGGGCTGGCCCAGAATCAAAGAGTGGTATGAGACACTGTCAGAATATTAAATCGAAAGTCAAAAACATAAATTTTGAGGCAATCATTGAGGAAAAGGGAAGGGATGATGAACGCAGCAGCAGAACATAAACCTTCGTGACAGAACAGCTCTCGAATGCATTTTGACCAACAATATCATCCATAGATCAATGCTGGTAATTAAAATAGTTTGCTAAATGATTTTATGAGCTATGCGTACAAACAGATTTTGTGTGCCACAGCTTTTCTTTCTGCTGTCTGTCTACATGCCCAACATCTATGACCACACATGACGGTTTCTGCTTCTACCAAAGGAAATCTGCAGCCGCAGCACTGTCATGTTTGATTGCATGTTAGCAGATCATTATCACTGTCTAGACAGTCACATCACTGCCCCCGAATGCTGCCCTGCCCCTGACTTAAAGCTCACTGGCAAAGGAAAAATGCAGGGCAGCAACAGAGCTGGACAAAGGACATGTCTAATTTTCCTGAATAACATAATCTGTAAGTCTTTTCCCTTAAGAAGCCACTAACCCCGGCCCGGTTTCAACCTCATACGACTGCAGTCCCAGACGCTCGACTCTGGAATGCAAGGAAATTAATAATTCATGGGTCAAAGGTCACAGCTTTGTCCCAGATACACATCAATAACCACACAAATACTCTGAGGCCATGTCCAAAACATGCAACATGTCTCTCTGTGTCTACGAAGTTGTGGAAAGTATGTGCGGCCTCGGCCGAGACCTCAGGCCGGTGCCCAGTTAAACCCTCGGAGTGACTGGTTTCCAGCTGTTCGGGGTCTCCGTTTGTTCATTTGTTTGATGCTGTTAATGGGAAGTTTAATTAAGTGTGCCGAGGGTGTGCAGTTAAAAAGAGGTATTGATAAACAGTCACCATGACCATCTGCCTGAGTTAATTGAATATCGACTCCACAGATGG